CCAATTCCAGCAAGCATTCTTTATATGTTTTAGCCTCCATATTCTGATAAAGGAGTTCTATTTTTATCATTTTCTGAGGCTACATAATGCTTACTTTTGAAACAGGGAAGAATAGTGCAAATTGTGCAAGCCACAGGTCATCATTGATTACAACCACAGTTGAGCCTAAAATTTCCATTGCTATGGAAAGCAATTGTTAACTGAGTTTTGGCCCATTTTTGTCACAGTTAAGTGAAACACTTCAATGTTTAAGAGAACCACATGGTCATTAGGCTTCCCCTATAGACTTTGCTTGTTGGAAGACAACTGGGAAAGTTACAAATAGTGATCACATGACACTGGGACAGTGCAACTCATAAATACATGTCATTTGCTAAGTGCCTGAATTTTGATCGTATGACTATGGGGTTGCTGCAATTGTCATTTGAAAATGGTCATAGGTCACTTTTTTCCAGTGCCATAGTAACTTTGAATGGTCACTAAACGAATGGCTTTAAATCGAGGACTGCCTGTATTATACAACATTCCTATCAAATGGAGATTCTAAATTTTTGACAAAGGCAATAGTATTCAGTAATTCATCCAAATTAATTTGGGTTTTTGAAAAGCCATCCAGCTTTTAACAATACTAGATTATGGGTAGTCATGTTAGCATTTTATTCTGATAACAATGAATCAGTTCTATTGCTTTTGTTAGATGTGAAAAAAATTTGATGTGAAATTTAGTTTAACTGAACAAAAATAGTTTTTGATCTCCATCAATATTTAAAACGGACTACAATTCATCTGTTAATTTATTGCATACTCTACAGATCCATCCGTATTAATTGCTTAAGCATTAATAGTATGAAACCAGATTCTTGGAAGGGAAGTTATGGATTAAAGACAGGAAATTTTTATCAAACATGGACTGCGTTAAATTTGGGTTGCAGCCAAAAACGGAAAAAGTACTCCGAGAAAGCTGTGGGTGTATTGACTAATTTAAGAAATTTTGTCAATTTTCAATCTTTGAATTTGTTTTAGAGGAAAGGAAAAAGTCAATAAAATTTCATATGGTCTACATTTAACTAATGTAAAAGATGAATTGTATTAGCTGAGTTACTAGGAATTTTATAATATTTTATTTTGTATTTTTTTTTTTTAACTTTTAATTTTTTTAAATTCATTTGTTCACTTTTTTTCTGATGATTAAGTTTTCAGTTTTTAAAGAACCTGATTTATTAGTCTACACCAGAATTTTCCAACGTTTCTGGCTTTTTGGACTGGTGAGGGAGAAGGGATAGTTCTGTGCAAGCAGCTGATAAGCGTGCACAGCTCCATTTAACAGATAACAGATAATCAGAGTTGGAAGGGACCTTGTAGGTCATCTAGTCCAACCCCCCACCCAAGCGGGAGACCCTAAACCATTTCTGACAAATGGCAGTCCAATCTCTTCTTGAAAGTCTCAAGTGATGGCGCTCCCACAACTTCCAAGGGCAAGGTGTTCCATTGGTTGATTGTTCTCACTGTCAGAAAGTTTCTCCTTATTTCCAGGTTAAATCTCTCCTTGTTCAGCTTCCATCCATTGCTCCTTGTCTGGCCTACAGGTGCTTTAGAAAATAGCTGGACCCCTTCCTCTCTGTGGCATCCCCTCAAATATTTGAAGACTGCTATCATGTCTCCCCTGGTCCTTCTCTTTACTAGACTAGCCAAGCCCAATTCCTGTAACTGTTCTTTATATGCCTTAGTCTCCAGTCCCTAATCATCCTGGTTACTCTTCTCTGTACTTTTTCTAGAGTCTCAACATCTTTTTTATAATGTGGTGAACAAAACTGGATACAGTACTGTAGGTGTGGTCTTACTAAGGCTTTATAGAGTGGTATTACTTGATCTTGAAAGTATCCCTCTGTTAATACGTCTTAGGAATGCATTAACTTTCTTGGCTGCTGCTGCACACTGCTGGCTCATATTTAGCTGGTTGTCCACTAAGACTCCAAGATCCCTCTCACATTTGCATGAGTGATGTGCATGCACATCTGCTGCTCACACAAACGGAGTGCGCACGCGTGTGCACACCCACACCCACACACGTTTGCCCACTGTTCATGCAAGTGAGGATGCACGTGCACATGCTCACGCTCAGTTGCACACCCCTCAAAGCCCACTAATGGGCTGTGGCCCACAGGTTGGGGACCGCCAGTGTACATTATTTAGCAATTGATTTTTCTTTCTATTTAATTTGGGTTGCATTGTTTGAATGGTATATATACATTTGTTTTCCTACTTTTGTTCTGCTTTATCCATACCTTTATCCATACTTTTAAGAAAAGATGACTTGCCATCAGAGAAAGAAGAACGACTTTTTATTTGTATTGGAGACTCCTATAGGAGAATTTAGGTAGTCCTCATGTTATGACGATTTGAAGTTACGATGGCACTAAACAAATGGTATTTATGTCCAGTCCCCTAAGTTACAGCCATTGTAGCACACCTTGAGTCACGTGATTAATATTTGGGTGCTTGGTAACCTGCATGCATTTACGACTGCAGGGGCACTTCAACTTCTTCCCAATACTTGTCTCCTTCAAATCTCTTGGCCTCCTGCACTCCAAGCAGTGGTGTATTAACCATTAAGCAGACTACACATGTGCTTAGGGCACCAGGCCCAAAGGGGGCACTACAAAAACTTTTATGTAGCCTAAGCTTGGCTTCATTTGTACAGTATGTACAAAGGAGGCGGGGCACCAAGATTTGTCAGTGCTTAGGGCACCAGTGAGCCTTAATCCGCCACTGACTCCAAGGCTCCTGCTACCTTGCTCTCTGTCACTCTCAGATTTATATTCACTACCTTCTTCCTTCTGTTGACCAAGAATCAACAGCCTGGCTCTTCACAAGTTAGCCTCATGAGGTCTCCTTCCCACATCTAAGTATAGTAATTTTCTCATAAGCGTTCAGGAAGAAGAATTGTGTGGCCAGCAGCAAAGGGGCAGGTCATGTCAGCAGTGTGAGCAAGAAGATGGCAAAGTTCAACTGGGACAGTGGAACACGGGGTCTCAAGTTGCAGGGTGGTTGTGGCTTTGTGTCATGCTGCTGGGTTTTGCTGGGATTGCTGTGGTTTCCTGGGGTGTTTGTGGCTTCCTGAGGTAGCTGCCATTTTGTTGCTGTGGGGCTGATCTGGATGCTGGGATGAAATGGCTCAGCTGTGTGCTGCAGCCTAGCTTTGCATCAGCTCAGATGTTTCTTGCAGCCTCAAAGTTGTGATGATCCAAGAAGCCCTGACTTCTTGGCACACCAGGGCTTCTTGGCACACCACAAATTACTGAATGCACTTACTAATTTAAGGGACAATTGCTTTTTCACAATGATATACTGCATATTGAATGACTTGCTTTTAAAATAAATGAAACATCCACCAAACCTTGGCATTATATGTTCACTCACATTCTCTATGGATTTCACTTTCATCTTCTTGAAATTCTGATAACATTCAGTCAAAAAGATAAGCAATTTCAGATTTTGAACATCTAGAAGGGAAATAATAGTTTTTCACAGAAATGTAGACAAGCAGAATAATATACATCAAAGTCCAGTAATGTTTATAGATAACTGAATAGTTAAAAGAGTAAGTGAGACAAGATCATTTCTAAAATGGAAATTATCAAATAATTTTTTTTTTGTATGGAAACTTCTGTTCCAAACTGAAAATGTAGTGTAGTTCTTAGACTAATACTGTTAATGTTCCAAAGCAGCTTAGTCTTTTTAAATTTACTGGATTATCACATGATATAATCCAGGGGATTAAAAAAGATCATTATCACCACCACCACAACCCACCACCATCATCAAACAGGCACAAAAGAAATAGTAACAGTAATAAATACCTGTAGTAAATTTATTTATTTATCTATTAAATTTATAGACTTGCCCAGTCTTTATGATTTTGGGCTAAGTGGATTATCTATGCCTGCATATTAATTTCAAATCATCATTCTGGGTGGTAAACTTCACAGGTTATGTTTAAGCAAAGATTGGTTAAATATGTTTTCATTTAGATCCTTACAGTGAACAGAGAGTTATATTTAATGGCTAAAATGGCCCCTTCAGACTGTTAGTTCTAATATTGTGTGATCGTATTTTCAGTTAAAAATATAGCATTCTGATAATTTTCTTTTTCTAATAATTTTTATTTATACAAATCAAATTTTGCAGTAAGGCTTTTGGACAGCAAAATTAAGAATTGAAAACTGAAAAAATGTTTATTAACTTTTGTGGATTGATAACATATCCTATGATTTGCTTTTTATATTTGGATTTTATTTTCATGTTTGCTTGCCGATTTGTGGAAAAAATGTTGTCACATGTCATTATTATTCAGCGTTGTTGCCAAATATGCTTTTTCTAATTCTGTGGCAAACATACATTTGTTTGAATCATCAGTTGACCAGTCCTATGTTTAAAATCAATGTTTACAGAAATTAAAGCTTCTTTTTATATGTAATATGTATATGATGAAGGAGTTGTTGTGGTTCAATGGCTTAATAGATACTGGAGAAGGTCTATGGTCTAGTTGTTTCAGTCCTACCACTGCATGATGGAGTAAGTTTCTGTTACTTGCCTCAGCCCATGCCAATCCAGCAGTTCAAAAGCATGTAAATGCAAGCAGATAAATAGGTACCACTTTGATTGGATGGTAACAGCATTCCATGTTTTCCCATATGCTTTGCACTGTGATATAACGTCATGCTGGCCACAGGATTGTGGAATTGTTAGGCAGCACTGACTCAGTAGTTTATAGAAACAGAGATGAGCACCTCCCCCTAAATTTGGTGCCAACTAACGGAGTTAAACCTGAGAGGCACTTTTATATTTTTATGTACATGACTCATTAGAAGTTAGAAAACATGAAGAAAGTTGTACTGTGGAAGTCTTTCATCATCTATCTATTGATTCCTAGAATTTGAAATGAATGCTGTACTTTATACACTGAAATATTAGATATAACCTGTTTTATAATTTTTCAGGTAGCAATAATTGCTGGAAATTTTGAACTTGCTGAATATATCAAGAATCATAAGGAAACTGATATTGGTATGTACATTGGGATTTCTATTCAATATTGAATGGAAGTTATTGCATTAGTCAATTATATAGAATGAGAATAAAATGAAATAATTTTTATATTATATGTTAAATAATCATTTATATATAAAAACTAATTAAAAGTACACTTTGAAAAACTCCCAAACTCCAAAAAAATGTCTGCAGGCAAACAACCAAGCTCAGAGACTATTCAAGACTTCAGAGTTCAACCCTGAGCTACATATATTCTCTTCTATTGATATCTGTCAAAATGTTTCTTGTCTCAGAAGAGTAGCAGAATTTTTTTTTGAAAATTTTTCTAATACTCTTATACAAGCCTGGGGAATGTAATACAATACATTATATTTTAAGAGTTTTTAGATCTAGAAGATATGTCAAATGTGAGGAGAAAGAGGGAAGATCTTTCCTGTAGTGGGAGTATTTTTGGTTTTTGGATCTTTTTACTGAGAGAATATTGAGTAAAAGTAAAAATTGCACAGATTTAGAACACTATTCATACTAGGAAGAAAATTGATTGAGAGGGCTTGAAATATGATGTAGCTCCAACTCTGAGATGTGGTCAGAGGGTTCTTCATTCTGTCACAGGAGCTTTGTCCTTTGCTTTTTAAAAATAATCTGAAACGAGATAATTTTTGGACATTTAAATATAGATATGAGATGAACATCATTTTTTTCTGAGCAGAGGATTAGAGGCAATGAAGGAAAGCAAACTGAAGCTAAATCCTGATAAGATGGACATTTTATATATTAGGAAATGTATTGGATCAAATAGAGGTAGAACACAACTGGCATCCCTAGGAAAGTGCAAGTAAGGGGGCAAATAATAAAACGTGCATTGTGGCATAAGTCATGTGATCCATATATTTATGTTAAATAGTGGGATGCAGGCAGTGGTGGGATTCAATTTTTTTTACTACTGGTTCTGTGGGCATGGCTTGGTGGGCGTGGCAGGGAAAGGATACTGCAAAATCCCATTCCCTCCCCATCCCAGTAACCTGCTTCCCAGCTCTGTTCTCCTGTGCAGAGCAACAAAAGAGGACCCAGCTGATCAGCTGGGACTCAGGAGGCACAGAATAAATGGGGGCAGGGCCAGTCAGAGGTGGGATTTGCTGGTTCTCTGAACTACTCAAAATTTCCGCTACCGGGTCTCCAGAACTGGTCAGAACCTGCTGAATACCACCTCTGGATGCAGGTACAAAGACTAAGTTTGCACTGTAATGTCGTTCTCTCATTCTTGCATCATGATTTGTACCAGATACTTAAACTTTAAACCTAAAGTCTTAAAGGTTGAACATAGGTTCTTGAATTTCCATTCTGTAAAAGACTGAGGCTTGTGGTCTACAGGTTTTCCTAGATTTGGCATGCTTAGCAAAAGCATAGGTAGCCCTGAAACTCAGGAGTGTGCCAATATATGTGTGGTTTTTACCAACTCCAATTTATTCACAGCAGTAGATTTAACCAGAAAAGGCACATTTTGCCTCAGTCATGCTTCATATTATACCCGATCCCTGTCTCTCAGTCCTAAGAATAAAAAGGCAAATCACTTCTGAGAATCTTGCCAAAGAAAGCTGTAGGGCAGTTGCCAGAAGTCAGCACACACACACACACACACACACACTTCTGAAGGCTAGCGTTAAAAATGTCAGCAAGAGAAAAATGCATTTTACCATTATATTCACACATTTTTAGTCTTCTTTTCCTTTATAAATGGGGGAGCTAGGAAAACTTATGAAGCTAAGACGTGTTTCCAATCTAAAATAAAAATAGCATCTAAATAACGTCTTGGTTTGTGTCATTTCATTAGTACATCACTTGCTGTATACTAATAAAGCTATTTTTAGATCAAGAAAATGATCAGTATGTGTGTTTCATAACTTTAAAAAAAATCAAATTCTTACTTGGAAAGATACTGATTTTTAATTCTATTTTAAAGCATTTTTGATAGGACAAACATGATCCTGGTCTTATATATATATTTAACCAGGAAAAGCACATACATATATACATACATACATACATACATACATACATACATATGCGGGTTTTGGCATGTTCGGGTCTTGAAAAGACCCAAACACGCCAAAAACTGCATGCCTGTACCTGTGAAAATCTACAAAAACAAATACACACACACACACACACATTTAATAGGTGAATAAGATTTTTCTGGCTGAGTCATACGTATGTCTGATAGGTGTAATTGTATTTTAAATATTACACTAAATGTGATTTAGTTTAAGTTATTCAAATTTCACAATTTTAATTAGCCTTTTATATAAATATTACAGATATATAAGGGTATTTTTAATAAGCACCTTAAATTATTCTTGAGAGTTGCATCGTTTCATTTACTGCATGTTTTATAACCAGTGTTCTGTCTTTTAAGAGGAAAAGTCTTTCGGGTCCAAAAGATAATTATCCTTGATTGACACGTTATCCTTGCTTGCTTGTCCTGCAGTTAGTTGTCATATTTTATGTTTTTATTTATCTGAAGAGAAAGTAATAGATTAAAGGCTACGATGAATAAAAAAGTTAATCCCTGATTGTTTTCATCCAGTCTACAGCTGTCTGTGACTAAATGGGCACTGAAGCTTTAGAAAGCATTTGCCATACAGCATTTACTAGGGCCTCTATAGGATGGAGATGCAAAAAACTAGCAATAATATCTATAGGAATCTGGACTATCTCTTTAAATACAGGTCTGCACATTTGAAATATGTTGCAAACCAAAGATCCTTTGACTTGGATAATCTATTTTTAAATCTTCTTTTTATTTTGTATTGCCTTGGCTGTTTGTGATGAGATGAATTATCCGATGGATTAAATGACATGGGTTGTTCCTCTTCAAGTGAACAAGGTTTGTTTTATCATATTCGTTTTCCTTCGGCTGCTCTGAAGATAGAAACAGGAGGGATTTTATTTTAAATATGAAACACATTGAAGTGGTGGTGTGTGAGTTTTGGTAGTTGATTAGCAGACTAACTAATACTTAGATACTGTTGCTAGGCTTCAAGTCAGAGTTCTTTTATCCCTCTATAATTATGCAGGAATGTGTATATGTGATGATTTGTGGGTGTTTGAAGCATTTTTTAAAATTTAATTTTATATACGTGAATACCAAATGGCTGCTGATGCATTCAACCCATTCTTTATTATATGTGCTATATTTGGCATTTGCTTTAGAATTAATATTAGTATTCTGGATATCAATGCACTAAACATACTGCTTATAATGGAAAATGGTTTTTGTTTATATTTTGAAGAAACATCTGTCATTTCTGCTTATTTGCATCTTGAGCATTTATTTTGAAGCCAGAGTGATTGAGGTCAATATTACTGCTTCTTAATTAAGAATTTGAATTAACTACCATCTGGTTTAATTCTATTCATTTATTTAAAGCTTTTCAAATGAATTGTTTAAAATTTATAAAAATACAGTTCTTTCAGACTAATATAGGTATCAGAATTTTTAAAACCCTGATTTTCACCAATTGAAATTAGAAATACTAAAGGAACTTTAAATAAAACAGTGAGCAGCATGTGTGAGCTGCACTATTTTTATCTTGCCTTCCTTAGTAGAACTAGAAAGGGTAGGAAGTATTATTGTGGCCATGTTCATTCACCATTTTAGTTATGAGTAATCTTAATCTTCATTCAAATGCTAAGATGAATTCTCATGGCAGTTTTATTTTAAAAGCCAAAATAAAAACAATACTGACAGTTCAACATGCTTATTTTTTAAGTAAAAGATGTCATGAATTTAAAGCCATTGTTTATCTGTAACTATAAAATCTAAAACTTTTGTTCTGAAGCCAGAAAATAATATAACACCTCACTAGCTAAGTCTATTTGGTGCATTTAATTGATAAAAATAAAAATGATTGCAATTATGCATTATCAAGATGATATTGAAGATGGAACAACTAACTGACATGTAAAATTTTAAGTAGCCATATTGCTAGAAAATAGATAAGCTACTTGCTCCTACTTTGCTCAATAGAATGCAGAAATTTTCATTCTTATAGAACATAAATAATGTTCCCCCAACCTTGTATTAAATGAGGCACGGTGGCTCAGTGGTTAAAGATGCTGAACTTGTCAGCTGAAAAGCTGACTGCCTGAGTTCAATATTTGAGTGCTGCATGATGGAGTGAGCTCCCCTCCTTCCCCCAGCTCCTGCCCACCTAGCAATTCGAAAGCAATAGCACTAGTACTTAGAATGAAAACTATACACCGCTTCACAGTACTTTACAGCCTTGTCTAAGTGATTTACAGAGTCAGCATATTGTCCCTTACAATCTGGGACCTCATTTCACCAACCTCAGAAGGATGGAAGGCTGAGTCAACCTTGAGTCGGTGGAATTGAACTGCTGTCAGTCAGCAGAATTAGCCTGCAATACTGCATTCTAACCACTGCGTCACCACGGCTCATAAAGCATGCAAATGCGAGTACGTACACATAAACAACATTTTGGTGGGAAAGTAACAATGTTCTGTGCGCCTTGGTGTATTAGTCATGTTGGCTACATGACCGTGGAAAATGTCTTTGGACAATGCTGGCTCCTTTGACCATGAAATGGAGGTGAATACCACTCCATTGAGTTGGACAGGGAAACCCTCACCTTTAATCTTCTATTACTTATAAGTTTTAATTGCTCAGTCATTCTTCACCACATCCAAACAATTCAAGATACTCTACTTCCCTAAAAATCTTTAATTAAATTGGTTTGTCATACCATAGTTCAGTTGTTAGGATTTTTGGTTGCATAATTTTAAAAGACTTGTTAAATGCCATAGTGGAATTTGAAATAACAATATTCTACTGCTCTGTCATTTAATAATTGCTTTTCTGTGTTGCGATGGCCCACTGAGTTGAGAGAGCAAAGGTTTACTAAGAAGTTCTGAATTGTGGCTGTCTAAGAACATTGTATGAGAAAAAATTTCATGCTTTTTTGAAGTTTTAATTATTTTCTGTATTTTTAATAGGAATTAGAATGGTAACATATGAAATAATATCTTTTCTAACTTTTGAAGGGAAATTGATTTTATAAAAGAAACAAAGAAAGGATACATTGTAAAGTGTATGGAAATTAACATACTGAGATAAAAGTAGGTTAAAAGTAACATTTGTATGAGCTGTATTATTTTCATTTAGATGAAATGTTATAGCATTGTTTTCTGATGCTGTAACTGTTAGTATACCTATTGATCATTCTTTAAAAAAAAGCACTTTGACTTTTTAAATGATTTTATATTTTTCTATGCCTTTTAGGCACATAATTTTAATTTTGCTAAGCAGAGACAAAAGAAAATTGCAAAAACTGAATCCATAATATGTAATACAAGTTATCCTTAACATGATTGAAATTGAGCCTGAAATTATGGTTGTAAGTTGTGACAGTTATTAAGCAAGTCATCACATGACCATCAGATGATGCATTAAATGAATGTGGTAAAGCCAATGCTGTGATTGTTGAGCAAGCCCATTGTTTCTGACAAAAACATAAATTGTGTTCATGTGACTGCAGGACACTGCAAACCACTGTAAATGTGGACTGGATACTGAGGGTCCATGTGACTGTGGGGGGATGGAGTGGCCATCAGAACTTCCAGTCTGGGTCATAAGTAGCCTTTTCAGGTTCTGTTATAAGTTCAATTGCTGAGTGACTGTACTTACATTAAAATTGAATAGGGATTATTTTTAAACCTATAAGTTAAAAAAAATGAAGATGTTGCATCAATGCAATTAAATACATCTAGCAAATCTGCTGAACACCCCCCGCCCTGTTTCAGCTGCTGCAATTTCAGTTTTATGGCGTGCATCTACTTCTGCAACTTGTTTTGGACTGCTCCCATGGATTATTGTCCTGATTCTTCTCCCAGTCTGACCTTCTGGTCTATGCATACAAGGAGCTCCAGCTTTCTTAATAACTTGATTACAATTCATACTTCTAATTGCTTGGCTTCATTGAACTATCTGGATCATTTAGCTTTGCCACTTGTGAGAAGGGGGACATTTTGCTCCTACTCTTTAGAATCAACACCCTTTGAACTATGTTTGGAGTATGTCCCCTGAGGCTTAAAAAAGTGCTGTCTATTTTTTCAGGACCTTTATGAAGCTCAAAGAACTTTTATTTCCATTGCTGCGTGCAATGCCATCTTAAATTACAGTCGTGTTTTGGGTTAAATCAGGGATGTCAAATTCAAGGCCTTCCATCCAGATGTGGCCCATGGGGTGCTTAGATTTGGCCTGCAGGGCCACCCTGGAAACAACAAAGAACAGACCCGCAGTGTCGCTGCCAGTGAAAACGGAGCTCGGGAGGGCGGTGCACAGAGTTGGCAGGGTTGGAGGAGACCATTGCAGCCAAAAATGAAACTCAGGAGCCCATTTTCACTGGCAGAGCACTTGGACCACCACACGCGCCCCCCTGACACGAATGACATTGAGCTGCCCCTCCGAGGTCAAACACAACTCTGATGCAGCCCCCAATGAATTTGAGTTTGATACTCCTGGGTTAGATAATATTTTTATATTTTTATAGTGATGTAGATTGAGACTGATTTATATTACACTGTTAGGTTTTGCTTGTATTCTGCTTAAGGACAAGTTGCTACCAAATAAAAATGCTTTTCTTCTTCCATCTCCTTCTTCTGCTCCAAAACGTAAGTGTCAGACAGTTTTCCTTGATGTTTCTTTTGTTCACCTGAAAATTGCTAGCCTGGGGCTATCTAAATTTTTGTATTGTTTTCTAAAATTATCACTGGTCTTATAGCCTCAAAATCACAGTGATTTCAGGAGCACTTTTGCCGCCATATGTTCTGTTTCTCCATCTCTGCATTTTCTCTCCCACTAAATCTTATCTAATAAGTCAATGAAAGGTCTTCTGTCTCCATTTTGGTATTACTTTAATTATGATGATAATCACATTTTACATGGATAAGGAATATTTATATAATTCTTTGTTTTGCTTTGTATTTCTTTGTTTCTAGCTTAGCTGCTCTGGATCTGCTACTTCACTTCCTCATACTTTTTCCTCTGAAATATAACATCCTTTGACTTGTTGTCCTTTCACTTTTAATTCTTTCTTTTCCCCTCCTTTTTTGCAATTGCTGTAATTGGCTTATTGTTTTATTATTGTTATTTACCCCAAAAACATTTCCTAGAAGAGCTTCCTGCTGTTCCTCCTGTGCTCCTTGCAGAGGTACAGAAGTTTATTTTTGAAGGGATGCTTGCTGTCTCCTTTTGGACAAATGTGCATGTTTTGGACGATCTATACCGTGCTGACCTCAGTCTGCCCTCTGCAAGAACAGTGTTGGAGAAAGCAAATGCATGTATGAATGTTTCTGAGAGCAAGAATTAGTTATGTAGCTTCGTAAATTTAGCAGTAAGATCAATTTAGGGAAATTGCGAGGGATGGGCCAAGCCTAGCATCCAATTAGCTACATTCTGTTTGGAGCTCCAGATGGAATTAAAAAGCTCCAAGCACGCATGGCTTGGGAACAAAGGCAAAAGGAAGATCCTGAGATTAGCAATTTCATATAGAGACATCAGGCTGAATGAAAAAGAAGGAACACACACTAAATACCTTTTTAATCTTTCCTTAGAGTAAGTGTAAAGTGCTGAAGAATAAAGATAATCTACAACTTCACCAGCTATTTGTATTATAGAAAGGCTTATCCATGGAAAATACGGAAATTGCAGGGGCAGGGGGAGCAAGGTGAAGTGGAGCAAGATTAGATGAAGGAAGTATGTAATGTGGGGAGTCAAATTATTACTCGGGAGTCGGTTTTCTGTATAAAAGAAATGTTTGAAGGGGCTACCTGCAACCTTCAGTGGTACATATGCCTAACTGAATA